CCCCGGCTCCTGCGGGGCAGCCGGGAGGGCTTCGCCGTGAGCCCGGAGGGAGATGAGTTATCCCAGCAAAGCTGGCCTGGAGCCTGGGAACATTCGCCGCCCGAGCATGTGTCCAAATCCACAGGCAGGGAGAACTCCGTCTGGGAGCGTGGGGCCGGTAAATCCCGGGCTTTGTGGGGGCTGGGTGGGTTGTGCCAGGGCTGGAGAGCAGGCAGGCTGGGTAGGTGCCGGTGGGCATTGAAAGGAGCATTGTTGCCAGGCTGTAGGCTGGAAGATGGATTCAAAGATGTATTCAGAAATCGCAGCATGGGGGCAGCTGTGGTGGTCAAATGGGGGTCGGGAAGGGGGAATTAGAGCAATCTGGGAACTGGTCAATCTGCCTTTGCAAGGGGACAAAGAAAAAAGTAATCTTTTAACCTGAGATAAGTGTTGGGAGGAACAGGAGTTGCTTGGAAGGCCCCAAAACAGGTTTTCTTTTGAAGTGTGGTAATGGTGTAAAATAAGAAATGGTGCTATAGGGCCTGATCCAAAGTTCACTGAAGTCTGTTGGGAGGCTCCTGTTAACTTAAAAAGTCAATAAGATTTAATTTTACTTTGTATAAAGGGGTGTGGGGAGGACCTCCATCCCCCCCCCCCCCGTCACGTCACTGAAGTGTCATTAAACAGATGCTTCTGTGTGTGCTTCAGGAACGTGGCTGGGATTGTGTTCAGGTACAGGGCTCTGCAGAACATCAGTGCCTGGTATTATCAGTGCACGGCTCTCTTTTACCTTTTTTTTTATCCTTTTGGATTGAAGATGCACAAAGAAAACAGTGCTGTCAGCCCAGATTTGGGGTGCCACGCTTGTGAATTACAAGTAGAATTACTGTGGAATTACAAGCTGGTGTGGGGTGGTGGGTAAATCCACACTCAGATGAGTGTAGATCCATGACTCTGCATTCGTTTGTATCAGTAGGAATTTTGCCAGTTTGGATTTCATTGTAGCACATGTGTATAAGAACAGATATTACCAGACGCCATGTGGCCTGTGATTCAGCTAAGCCCAGTGTTTATAAAACCTTGTGGGAGTCGTAAGTGCATTCCTGATCACCAAAGCAGAGTGGATTCTGACGTGCCTTTCTCACTGTACAAGTGTAAAATAAGTTTTGGGCTTTTTCTTTTTTAGGTCCTGTAGATAATTGGTTGGCCCTACAACTTTTTTTGTAAATTACTTCATCATTCTTGCTAAACTTAAGGACTCTGCAGTGTTGTGTGAAAGTATTCATGGGAACTTATTTTAAGGTAACTTAAAATATGCTAAGATTCTTATAAGAACATCACTCTCTTTTTAAGGGGATTGCACACAGAAACAAGGCATGGTTAAACTGGAAAATCTGTGGTTGAAAATGTCAGGCTTTATAAAATGAGAATGACTAAAATGCCACAGCCACTGGAAGGGAAGTTCTGAGGATGCTCTGAGTTGCTACAGAGAGTGAGAGGTACCTATAGGGTGGCAGTGATTCCTTGGAGAGGTTTAGTCCAGTTCACTTCAGCTCCCCTATAAGACTTTTCAGAGCCGAAGATGTTGAGGACACAAAGTACCCACCCAGAAGAAGCTCACATATGGTATCTGTCAAGTCTCCTGAGAACAAACAAAACCATGCAGTCCATTTCTGGAAGCATCTTGTGTTTCAGACAGAGTCCTTTCAACAGATGAATTCCAGGATTTACCTGTGTCCCTGTGTTACTGGGATAGCTTGGTGAGAAGGGCAGGGAAGTGGTGTTTGTCAAGGACTCCCATTTCTCCATTGCCACTTATATGCTACTTCAAAATTCTCTTAAGTCAGCATTTTAAAATGCCCAAATGTAGGTCTTAAGAATGAAAATTAAAAGCACGTATCATCTCTCAAGCTCCCATATGCTCTCTTTGCATAGCTTGAGGGCTGAAATTCAACAGTGGATTTCTCAGATGGATTTCCAGAGGGAAGCTTTATGAGTGACAGTAAAGATGGGTTAAGAGATAATGAGTTTGAAGCAGGCATTGAATTTTCTTTGTGCAGTCTGTATCAATTAATCTCAACCTTTGTTATCCTGATACTGAGCAAAATATGTACGCTGGGCAGCCTTGTGCTCCCTTCTTCCCTTTGGTCTTAATTATGACTTAATTCTGGACTTAATTCTGAAGACAGTAGCTGTCGTGGTGAGCAGCCTCGGAAGAACTTGCTGGCTACTAATGAGTTGAGCAGGACATCTGGCCTGGGGCCAGCTGGCACGTAGTGACCCGTGGCCTTTCAGTTAAACCCTTCCTTCCTTTCTTACTTCCCTCTACAGGAATCGGGAAGTTGCATCTGAACTGCCTCCTAGGCTGGTCCCTGGCGTGTCTTAACCCCAGCTGTCCTTGTCTTGGAGGATTGTAGGTCATTCCAGGTCATCCCAGGATTGTACTGATGACTTAGTGGTGGGAATTTCTGTGGAAAGCGCTCCGGTCTCTGTCCTGGCCCCGCTGAGCTTGTTGGGATGGACTTGACTGTAGGCATTCTGTGAGCCTTTGGAGCTGCCCATCCAGGTGGGAACAGCAACGGCTCCCAGCTTTAGCCACAGAACCCAGCTTCCCTCTGTGCTCCCCGAGCTGGTTCTGGTGTTGCCATGGAGGAGTAATGCTGGAGGTGACAGTCACCCCTTCTTGTGAAGGAGGAAAGGTCCCAGCTCTCCCCTGGGACTGGTCAGCTCAAAAATACGCAATGCTGTGAGAAACACACTGGTGCCCAGCAATGGGAGAGAGTCTTAAGAAGACATGGCTCTTGGACTCGAGACAATCTAATTTGTAACCAGGGAGGGTTCTTCTAATGGGCTCCTTGTGTGGCTGGGTGTGATCAGCAGGGTGGGCTGAGCCCAGCCCAGCCAAGCTGGGAAACTTGGGCATGTGGGGAAGGTGGACAGCATTGTTTGTGCTGGGGTTGGAGAGCTGTTAAGGGAGGGAAAATGATCTCTATCTTGGACAAAAATGACCCAGAAGTTACCTAGTCAGCATGTCCCAACCCTCTTGTGGGTGGGTTGAGGTTGGGTTTTTTTGTTCTGTACTTTATCAGTGCTGAGTGTGTTTGAGATCCGTTTGATTATAGGTGCAGAGTATTTGCTTGTTGGACAGGTTCACCTTGGCTGTAGTGGACAACCTAAAAGTCTGTTTGTTCAGCAGTTTATCACATTGCTTTACACTTTCCTTAGTCTTGGATTAAGTGGTGGTATAGCAAAGAAAGTTGTCTGTAATTTCATCTTTAAATACCTGCTATTTCATCATTGTGGGCCATCTGCTCCCATCTTTTACTAACCTGAGGATTGAATGCCTGCATAAATTGAATTGGTGCTTGAGAGCAGTAATTAGGTTCTTTTGTGCTTGAAAAAATCTGTGCTTGCTTTGGGGATCACAGTGTGCTTAGATTTCAGAAATGATAATGTAAAGGATAGTGAGATGGGTGGAAAGCTGGAATAAATCCCTGCTGAGAGATCAGTGGATATACTGTACCACAGCTCCAGGGAGTGAATGGTTTCAACTTAAAAGAGCTGGTTGTAGCTGAAAATAGAAGCTGATGAGATCAGTATAATAATTATACTTCATAATTACATATTATTAGTCTAGCTGATAATACTCTACCTGAGCATTTTCTTATTCTTCAACAGTTTATTTTTCAAATGTGAAAAATTCCACATAGAGGACAAACTTTAATGAGATGCAGGGATCATTTAAATCTTTAATGGCTGCAATTGCTCACAGGGAGGTGTTGGCTTTCAAATGCCCTGTGTTTTCTGTCCTTGTTTCCATTTGAGCAAGGAGGTCACTTTAATCTTCATGGTCACTATTAATCACTTAGGAATGCTGAAGTTCCAGTCTGCTGGCTTTGCCTCTCCTGATTCTGTCCACTGGTGTTTTGCATCTATTTCAGATGTGCTCACCTGCGCTGTGACTTCCACATGGCAATATTAAAACATAGGGTTTAGAAATTGAATTGACTTTTCATTTGGCTTGTTGTTTAAACCTGTGGGATTTAGTTTCTCATTAGTATTTGTAGGTATTTTAAATGTATTTATTATATAGTTTTAATAACAGTCA